ATTTAAGAAACTACTGAAACTATATAGACGAGAATTTTTGCAATACAGGAAATGATTGAAGGCACATATTCCACGATTCTATCTCTCACACTTTTTTCTCGCCTCATTAATATGCAATTACTTACTAATGACAACGTACAAAAGATAAACAATGCTAAGGACTGTCCACTGTGACTGCATCGTGCTCTCTACTTGTTGTTTAATAACTGTTGAATTATTCATGCGCCGAGGCGGCGCGTTACGACACAGCCGTCGCACTGTCATCGTCACCGTGTGTACAAACGGGTTCATTAACGGCGTCGCCGGGAAAAAAATCTGTAATTCACTCGGAACGGCGTAAATTACAGCCGGGATCGCGCGTCTGATTATTGACCGCGGCGACATGTTGAAATCACCGGTAATTACGAACTTCGCGCCGGAATCAGAACCAATCAGTGTGAATTATACTTCGACGATATGCATTCAACAATGCATGAATATTATTTATTAAATTAAATGATAAATAGAACGGAAAAAATTTCAGAATTTGTATGTCTGACCACGTATTGACTTGATCTACTAGAATCCTTCGCTCGACTTGTCTAACAGCCTTCCTAAAAATTTTCTGATCAAACGAAATTGACAAAATTATTTACGAGATACACAATTATTATTTACAAGATCTTTCTCCTCCAACACAATGACAGACACATTTTGTCCATCTCCCTCGGGACGTACACCGACTCTGTGAAAACTGGATGCATAATCGTGTCGTTTAATCGTGAACTCACCTCTCGCTGGCGATGGAACTGTTCCGGGACATGGACTTCGGTGACATCTCGAAGTCGCTGTCGCTGCGATAGAGAAAACTCTCGCGACGTTGAGGCAGGGTTTGGAGTACCAAACCCGCGCTCGGCGAGGCACCACCCCCGCCCCCTGCGCCGCCGTCCAGCGTCGAAGCACCATTTTCCACGTCGAAACTGCAAAATAGAATTAAACTGATTATTAATAAAAATCCTGGTT